TGGTAGATCTGTAATGGGACTGTGTAAAGACCGAAGCAGTCTGCTTATTAAATACAATTTTATATCCGTAAGAGATTTTCATCATATGCCCAATGGAACAACATTCTTCCAATCGTACTACTTGATCACAGTACTGGATGATACTATGCATTTGCGAACTTTGCTGTTTAAACTTTTGCTCTGGTTGTTGGGTGTTTGGGGTAATGAAGAAGTGATACAGTTCTTCAATGATGCACTGGTAGAGTCAGTTTACAGGTGCGTACGTAATCTGCAGCACTGCTATGACACGACAGAAGTGTCCTTTGCTCTAACAACACCAGTTCCTCCACTTATAAGAAATTATCGACCGGGTTGCCTTCAGTATGACATTACATCTGAACAAATAGAGCATTGCTTGGCCCTTGGCATGAACTGGGAAATAAGTTCTACATGTCTTGGCATTGGCCGATGAACGCTTTACAACCACAGAGAACATCTCGGAGTTTGACCACTGTCTTACTCTGTCATATCCGACAAGGCATTTAATAGAATCATAAGAGATATTTTACAGAATACACCAAAAGCAGGTGAAGTGTATGTAATTGGGAGTCTGCGCTCATGAGGATTATGCATCCAACGCTGGCAAGAATGAGTTTATAAGTGGTTGACCCTATTGCACGCTCCGACGATGCTTTGCCATATCACAAAGAATATATTGAATATATACCATTTGGTCACCTAATGAATTATTGTAAGAACAAAAACGACTTTGTACCATTTAAGGGCCAGTGTCTACCACATGCGTTTTTGGTTTGTTTTTTGCACTGGCAGTGTCAATTTTCTATGGAGCCCCTAAAGGGCCATGGCCAAATAAAAAAATCCTTCTCATGCACATTTTATTCTTATTCTTTTGGTATTTGCATTAAATGCATTATTCATGAAGATGCCCAAATCTGGAAATGTTTTGAAAAATAAATAAAATGAAATGAAATGAAAAAGTTATTTCAGTAGTGCAAGTGGATTGCATGTCACGGACCACTTGCAATGCCGCTGCGGAGATTTCTTTGTCGCTGCACTCAGGGCTGATGAGCTCACATCTCTCTCACTTCTAATAGCAACACTGGGGGGAGAAGAAACGGATCCTGGCTGCAACTGACAATCCATTTATTTATGATCTAACACTGAAAGGTTATCATAATGCTCAAGAATTTCAGCGGATAATTCCAAATTTTTGATTTTCAAATGCATCACCACATTTGTGAAATAAAATTAACACAAAGCAGAGACTACAGTTACATAAACTAAACTAAATGTAATCAAAATTTAGGACACAGATTTGTTAGTGAGTACCATAAATCAGTATGCACCTTTCAAATCTCACATGAGCAATCTGAGTGTCAAACCCCAATTGTGCTGCTTCTCACAGGACTTGGCCCTCCTGACTGCTCTCCCTTCTTTATCTCTCCGTTTCACGGAGGCGGAGGGGTCACCGACACCAGGTGAGGGCGCACAACTAGAAGGCTAGAAAGGCTAGAAAGCTCTCTTTAATCTAGTTAGATAAACCCTGTATTTTGACGTAATGTGTTATCCTTATTAAATTTAAGAACTTAACACATTGAACATTTAAGATAATCACAATGACGAGTTTTGCTATGTGTTGTCCATGTCAATGAAATTATACTAACTGATGTCTGTTGCTAAAGATTTCTATTATCACCAAACTAACATATTAGCTAGCTAGCCAAACTTGAAATTAAATTAAAAGTTTACTTTGGGGACTTACCTTTGCCGTGGCGTTACTCTCCAGCGGCTATAATTGAGTCTTGTACTGTAATGGGGAGACTCAGTAAGTGGTGCTTGTGAACTCTCTTGCTGAGTTCGAGTGGCATTAGCTCTTATCATTCCTCTACTGTCAGGTCAAAACAGGGATCTAAGCTCAGTTTCAACAGACTGAGTTGCAATTCAGGGCGTAGTTGGTGCAACAGCGCTGATATTTATGCCAGTTGTGATGTTGTTTATGACACAGGGGGACAATAACATTGTATTTATCAAGCTGACTGCCTCGGTCATTACATGGTCCTGGTTCAAATTGGCCATGATGTGACAAAACGCACGAGGATCCAGAATTGAAGCACCTTCCGGATATAGTGAAATACCTTCCGGATATACATGTGTGAAAAGCTTCATTCATCCTGTAAGAGTTATGTTTGTTACATAAGTAATTTTATAAATGTGTGAGTTAGTTTGACCTGCATGTATGCTAGCATTTCATATGTGCGTGTGAGTTAATTTCACCTGTATGTGTGCGAGCGTTTCATATGAGTATGTGTATGAGTTAATTTCACCTGTATGTGTGGGAGCGTTTCATATGAGTATGTGTGTAAGAAAAGTTTGAAATATTTCCTAAACGGCCCCTTATACTAATTGATACCGAAATGTAAAAAATTGAAATCACAAGTCTAAATTAAGTATAAGCAACAAATTTGCGATCTGCTCGACTTGCTGTTTGGATTTCTTGGTAAAAATTGCATAACAAAATTAGCATCATGAAATCATTTGTTTGCTGAGATGCAAAATAATTACAATGTTCTTGTTACAATGCTAAAAATCAGCATGTGAACACATGATTTACCATTCAATAAGCTCTTAACTACCACATACAGGCCTATCCATTCTGTCAACCCTGAATGACAAGCCTTTCCAAACAACCACCTCGTAACATGGGAAATGCCGACCCTCCAAGTGCTAAGACCTGCCCAGACTCTGGATACAAAGCCAGAAATGGAATTAAGCAGAAAAAAATATGACTAAACACAGGTAAGGCGCTTTTTAAATTCTTTTAGTTGCTCTTTTCAAGACAAGAGGTGGCATGAGAAAAGCTGCTGGCATGTCACCATCGCCAAACCGATCTAGACAAGATCTAGAATGTTTCTTCCCAAGGGTCTGAGCTTTTAAAATCTTGTGTTTGACTGGAGACGAAAGTCTTTAAATGTGAATCCCACATCCGTATATCTGTGAGTGTGAGTTTGTTTACAATTCAAGTTTATTTATCCATGCAAGTAAAACGTTTAGAAATTGGTTTGTGTTTGGTTAGCATCTAGTGACTGTCATGATTTAAACTAGAATATGTTTGGGCATGTTTGTACAAGTTGTTTGGGTCTTTTAAGCATTCTATTTCAGGAAGGTTGAATCACTAGTGCTATTGTCAAACATGAGCGCTAGCTAAAGGGCTATAATAATGTTTTTAAAATTTATAATACAGTAACCCCTTCACATTCAGAAACATGACATTTCCCATTTCAGTTATTTGCAGTTTGCCTGTGGACATTTAAATGAGAATATTTTTATAGCTTGCTAAAAGATCAAAGAAACTCACGGATGATGCGAAAGCCCAAAATTACTAAAATGATTAGGATGACATAAAATCATATAATACATAAATATTAGAGATACAAAACAAAGTTTTGGCTTGGGTCTTGGCAACCAGCTTTATTCATATGCTACCTGTCTTTGTGATCTAAGAATCTCACATTTCTCGCAGTAACTTTTCAGTGATGTTAATTTTGCATTTTTAATAATGGGTCCAAAATGTAGTGCTCACAGTGTGTACAGTACTTCTTCCTCTGTTGACCATGGTTACCTGCAAGGAAACACATGCAGTCATCATTGCTTTGCACAAAAAGGGCTTCACAGGCAAGGATATTGCTACCAGTAAGATTGCACCTAAATCAACCATTTATCGGATCATCAAGAACTTCAAGGAGAGAGGTTCAGTTGTTGTGAAGATAGTTAAAGGAGCTGATGTGTAATGTCTTACTTTATAGCAGATCTGTTAAAATGTAAAATGTACTATTGAACATATATGGGTACTAAATCATTATTTACTATTCACAAATTGAAAAAAAAATGAAGTACAGATTAAACATAGCACTAATTATAAGCATGTAACAAAATGTGTTATACTCATCTGTGCAAACTAGAAAAATGAACCATCTTCACAAACACTTTCATTCTGACTTCAAAGTTAAATTGATAACTTCCTCAAATAAATGTAATTCGTGTGATTTGTTGTTCTTCTGATTGTCTCCTGCAGAGGGCAGTGGTAAGTAATGGTTTATTGCAGATGTGTTTTATGCTCTGTGATGGGATTTTTTTTGTTTGTTTTTTTTTCCTGTCCGGCAAATTTAGCAAGCAGAATCATGGTCTGAATGCACTGCTGTGCCAAACATGTTTGCTGTATAGGCCCCTCATGTCGATTGATTTTTAGCACATGTAAAATATTGCAGTGGCTGAGCTGGCCGAAGAGGAGGGACAGATTAGGAGGGGGAAGAAAAAGAAATAAAAGAAAATAAGAAAAAAAAACGATATGAGTAAAGTAGAAAACACAATACACAATCTCTAATTGCTGCACCTGTAAAGGAGAGGAAAGAAATAGAAAAAGGCAAAAGATCAATAGCATCTGAAAGAAGTGCAGAAATGGATGAATTCATGAACACAAACAAAAATAAAGAATGAAGAAAATAACACAGCTATACAAACATACAAAATTGTTGTGTGTGCTTGGAGGGGTGCTTGAAAGTGTATGCACATGCATGCTCAACTGTGTAGGCGAGATGTGCGGGCCTGGGTTGATCTAGAAGAGGCTGCAGAACCTCAGAACCCTGCATTGTAAAAGTGAGTATAGAAAATGGATGGATGGTGTTTAATGGAGTTTTGTCGCTGACTTTTAAATGCCAGAAGTATGTACTCTGGTTGGTTACCAGAGGGTAACTGGAACACAACTAAATTGTAACTAAACCTGAGAGGTTAATTGCAGCCTCACGTCATTTACTTTTTATTTACACAGTATCTGTGTTTGATATTCACTTGTGACTTTTCTGGCCATTGTTGAATTTAGTCATTATTGAGGCTAAAAAGAAAACTTCACCTTTGCCCTTTGTCACTCTTTCAAAATGTCGCAAGTGCTCACTCGAAGCAGAAGCAATGACGAGTAGTAAAAACAGAAACCCCACTGAAGTGTCACATTGGTCAGTATAAGAGCAGACCTGTGTCAGTCTTGGGGTATTTTGGCTCAGGTTCTTCTGGTTTCCTGACCTCAAAGCGCTAAGGCATGCTGCTGTTTGTGATACTTGCAGGCTTTCTGAGCTTTGCTGTGCTCTTCTCTTCACAGTGTAAGTCTATGGGTGTATTTTTTATCATTTGGTTTGAAATTATATCATTTGGTTTTTTATCATTTGGTGCAGAAAGTGTCATTTTGCTATTATGCTTTCAGCAAATGCATGATTGGTTCATACAGGCAGAAGAAAAAACACTAGTTATAATGATGGTGATGATCAAATATATGTTCTTATATCATTTTTTAAATTTGTTTATTTGCAATGGGCAGCATAAAAACTTAACTTTTGCCTTTTTTAATTTGACATAACTTTCACTCACATTTCATCAAAAGCTTGCCTAAAGTCACAGGAAGAGAGTCGGATTAACACCACAATGCATACGGAATCTGTCACCCTCTCTCTGCCATCCATGCCCACCACTGGATTCTCAGAGCTCTCATGGAAGAGGGCAGAAATGGTGTTCAAGATGAGGAATTTGAGTACTCCAATAAAGAGAGACACAATCACTTATTTTCCAAATGGAACCTTACTGCTGAGACAGCCCCATATAAGAGACAGTGGAGATTTTGAGCTAGAGGTGTACAATCGCACTGGTCACTGCATTTTCCGGGGCACTGTTATTCTGCATGTGCAAGGTGAGTTTGACTTTCAGTCTACAACTCTGAGAAAGGAATAACTCTTGAATGTAACAGAGGTCTTTGTAAAGTTTTGTATACAGATGCTCTTTCATAAAATGTTCTAACAATATTTAACTGATACAGAACACGGATATGGCTTTGGTGAGCATCAGTGAATAAACCCGTCAAGACACCACTCATGCACTTGGACTTTGACATGCTCTTTAGACTCGGTTTCTAAGTTGGTTCTGGTCCCGCACTCCAGTAGTGATGGAGAAGTGAAGATTAGGTATAAGGTGCACAAGGGTAACAACATTTAAATAAAATCGGGGTCTTGTTGACAGATGAGACCAGCTCTGGAGGGTTTTCTCCCACTGCTGTGAACAATGGTAGCAAGGAGAACAGCATCATACCTAATTCTCAGGGTAAGATGAATAAGATTGTAAATTTGATATTTTTGCTCATTCTTTCTGCATATGATATTTCTTGCATCTACTGAATACCTTAAAGCTGTTTATACTTAAAAAGTACTATGAAAACAGAAAATATCAAATTATAATTCTTTTTAATTTTCTGTACAATCTATGTGATCTTTATTACTTTGCTTGTGATATAACAGCAAGCAAAAAATCTTTAATAATAATTTATTGATATTTTAGTTTAGCTTTAGTCATAGTTCATAAGAGATGCATTTCTTTTTGGCCAGGCAACACCTTAGTGACCCTATTCTTGCTTTCGGCTTGTGGGACTCTCCTCTGTGTTGTCATCTTCTTTCTGGTCATTCTGAATATTGTCAAACACATCCAAAATGCAGGTACGCTTTGGCAGATCTTCCAGGATCTTTAACACAAACAATCTTTTCCACTTATCATGCATAGTATAGTTTTCTTGGTGGAGGTTCTATGCAGAACCATGCCCTCTAAATACAGTATAATAACACATGGTAATCTTCTTAAAGGCTGCATCATTAAAATTTCTTACTTTTAAAGGCAAAAAGAATAGTCAACGAGGAGGAAGCTGTATTTTTTTCAGTTCCAAATCCAAGAGAGGCAAGTGAAGAAATTGGTTTGTTTGTAATGTACAATTATAGTTTACATTTACATTTATTAACCGGTGTTTCATGGTTAACCGCGAGATGATTAATGGATAATGCTTTATTTCGTTGGTGGCAAACTGGTTGATTGCAATCAGCAAAATTAACCAAGGGGAAGGTTATCGAATATTATCTTTATAAAAGTAGCTCTCACCGAAAAAAGGTTGAGCAACCCCTAATCTACTCTGTTGCCAACTTTGTTTTTCAGACAAATATACGCATGCATAGTTACTGTAAAAAGGGACTTCTAATAAAATGTTTACAGTGATGCGTGATTATTTTTTCTTTAATTCTTCTTTTGTATTTTTGCCACTGCAAATTTTTATCATTATTTGTTTCTGCAGAGGAGGAGTATGTAGATATGGGGCTGGATCCCTTTTCAGTAGGAATGCGACAAAAAGGACGTTGTTTCACGGAGCCAAAAGAAGTGACCCAGAATGCAGAGCAAGGTACATGGAGGGGTAACAATATCTACCAGTGACCTCTGGGACTTTCACCTTATCATGTGTAAATAGATGCCCATTCTGATATACATGAATGAACAGAAATAAAATTAAAAAAATTTAAAAAAAACGCAAAGTGAATGACCCAAAATGGTAGTGAAACAGGAATTAGTTACTCATGCAATTCCCCTATATCTTCTACTTCCTTAATTTGTATTGTCTTCTGAAAATGAAGGTAGTTTTCAGGTTCTTCCAGTAGTGATTTGAGTAGCTTTTATAAAGTGGAAAACAATTTGTTTTCTCAATTATGTCAAAGCACAGAAGGAAATCAGACAACTTTGAACACCACCAACAGCATTATTCTTGTAGCTTATTACCATTCTGCCACATGCACTAAACCTTGCTTGTCATTCACTTTTTCCATAACATGTAAGATATTCAATTTTTGTTGACCAAAAATGTTTGACAAGGAATACTGTATGACAGTGACTGCAGATGGAGCTGCTGAGGGAGTTTATGTTCCCATGACTTATATGCTGATTAAAGAACAGCCAGAAATAACCCTTTATGAGAATCAGACCTCTAGCCAAGGTAAGTGAAACCTCACGGGGGGGGGATACTCTCCTTTACTTTGTGTTCGTAATCACTAGTCTCAGTTCTGTTTTGCCTTACAACACTCAGGCACTCCTGCATCATCTAGTGCGGAGCCCAGACAAGATGTTTATGCTCAGGTCAGCAAGGAAAAGGGCTCAGCAGGAAGAGGTTTTTCTCCGTCATTTTACAGCACTGCCAGTGATTACTGGCTGTCCCCCATGAGTCTTCATGAGCCATAGAAGCTACAAAGTCTTCCTGGTTGCAGCCTTTAACCCAAAGCATGATTACAGTCACCTGTTGAACATCATCTGTTTCAAATCACATCATTATCTTCTTTGTAAAGCCCTTTTTGGCCCTAAATTGCCTCACGCCGACTGTCTTGTCTTGGAACGTGTTAAGTCACAGGAAGAATTCTCAACAGCAAGAATGGATGTATATTTACAAGAAGAGTGAAGCTGACCAGACAAACATTAAATATTTTGTCTTTATACTGTTTTTGGTGGATTAAGTCCAAGTGAACTTAAGGTCACTGCTTTCTGTTATTTGCATTTTCCATGCTGTTGCAATTTTTTTCTGAGTAGGGGTTGTAGAATAACCGACATGGGACTCAGCGTACAATGACTCAGACTTGGTTTTCTCTCTTTTTTTGTTGTACTGCTACACTTTTATCAACCACAAGAAGCTGTGCACTGTTCACTTTGAATGGCTGTAGTTTCCCCCTCTACTAAATAAGCATTTGTGGAGAGAGCTTTATATGACTTTTGAAGTCTCTCACCTGACAATGCAGTATGTAGTTACTAGGGATGTAACGATACACTCAACTTACGATTCGATACAATTCACGATTCTGAGTTCACGGTACGATTTTCTCACGATTTTTTTTAGCAGAATGAGCTGCAGACAAATTTATTCAAAAATATTCCTTTATTTATCTTTCTAAACTGTGCAAAACATGTTTAGAAAAAACTGCTTAACAATGCAACTGAAATTGAATATAATACTGTTTTTAAAAAATCCCAAATCAAAATAAGTAAATAAAAAAAAATCTTCAAATAAATAAACTAAGGCTTGCATGTGCAGCTTTTTAGCGTGGTTTGCCCTTTTAATAATCTTCGCTTGTGGTGCCGGTGGACATGCTATTTGTATATGTTATCAGTCTTTTTTTCCTTTGTTTACCACGGCCATGTTGGAGGTGCTCAAGGTAAACGAACTGCGCGTATTTTGTGTCTAGAATTTTTTTCGCATTCATTCAGAAATGTCTTCAAAATCTTTATTAGATTACAGGAGTAAATTAGACAAAGTAAGTCGTCAAAGATATGAAGATAAACTTAAAATAAGCGAAACTGATCCTTATACGATCGAAAAATCAGCCTGGACTGACGACGTGTCGAAGTGGGCGGATGTGTCGTATTATGACACCGTTAATTATTTGGTGTCCTCCAACAGCCCCTACACGATGGAGGAACTAAGATCTTTAAAAAGCCTTCATGCGTACAACCAGTTTGTATCCGGATGGGTTCGTGATGCATGCATATGCATTGTAAATGACCTTTGCATACACAAGGGCAGTGTGCTCCATTCGCAGAAGCTCAATGAGCCACTGCTAGCTCCCTGGATTATAATTCAGAAAGATGGCAAGATTTTATCGCCCCACTGCAACTGCATGGCAGGCTTGGGAGAATGCTGTACACACATTGCTGCTGTGTTATTCTTTATAGAAGCGACAGTGAAAGTGCGTGACTCCCGAACAGTAACAGATGAAGAAGCTTATTGGCTGCCTGTTACCACGAAGGGAATAACATTCAGTAGTTTCTGCAAAGATGATGCATTTGAGTTAAGTTAGTTATATCTCTTAACTGGCAGGGCTAAGAGCAAGGAGCACGTTTCACTTGTTTTGAGTATGATGGTTATGTTTTTGATCATCCACAACTGTGACCAGTTAGGCTAAATATTAAATGAGTAAAGTACTGTTGATTTTGAACAATATTTAAAGTGTAGCATTTGCTTACACTCTCCCATTATTAATAATGATATCACCAAAATGGTGTTTCTATCAAATGAGAGATGGGATATGAAAGTCATCTGTTACATTTTAGTTGTCAGTGTAATAGCAGACAGGGAAATGAGGGTTACCGCAGTCAGACAGAACTGAATAGGCATCATCAGAGAGGTAAAATTCGTAGGATTAGCATAATAAAATAAAGGATTTAGAAATAAATTACTGTGTAAATGTTGCCCTGCCTGATGTTGCCCTGCCTGATGTTGCCCTGCCTGATACTTGTGTTACCCTATTTCCTTGTTTGGATACTTTAGGAATTTTATAGTTAGCTCTTGTTTTTCCCATTTGCTTTTGACTCCTCAAGGTCCTTTTATCTTGTGCCCTTCCCAATGTGTTCTGTTTTGTTAAACCAAAACAGAACACACTTTTTTTCCTGCCTGCACCATGCTCCACATCTGTAACATATTTGCATGAAATGACAGCTAGTTATCAGGGCTAATAAACTTAACTCATAGAATTATAATAGGAAAATGCAGAAACCCTCAGGGTGCCTGTGCAGATTCTCTGCTTGCCCCTTAAATGCACTAAATATAGTACATATGTTTAATTTAGCAGCTAATTAGTTCATATTAACATATTAACATATGTTCCCTAAACTAGCAATAGCTTAGATAGCTCACAGCTAGTTTAAATGGCATGAGACTTTGCATGTTTTACATGTCTTGTGGAGGTTTGTGCTCTGTAGCAGCCCATTAAATGCAGTCAGGTGGGAGTACACTAGGGGTTGCACAGACTAGTTGACTTTACTGCTCTGCGATGATGCCTTAAGCTCAACCTCTACTAGTCCCTGATCAAATGAATATGACACAAGCAGTATGTGGTGCATTCCCAAAGCTTCTTAATGCTACGTCGTTTGTAAGTTCTATCTTTTAACATAGAACTTATCAGTGACATAGCGTTAAAAGGCTTTGGGAAGCTCACGCATGGATGCCTCAGGGAATACCAATTATGCGAAATGTGGCGAAAAGAGATGGAAGTATTGGAGAAAATATTGAGCAGAGGAAATATTTTTGTACGTCAGTTACGTTTTATGCATGAATAGATTCCATTTTGCTTCTGTCTTCATATTTTTGCCCGTAAACATAAATAAAACATAGGACTGTGTCATATTTTGATTGCAATCAGTCCTTACAATAACTAACAAATTATGAAAACGATTTTATTCTCCATTGTTTTGGGGTGGCGGTGCAGTTTTGTGTGAAATTACATGCTTATTTAGCAGAAAGGTCACAGTATTTGTTGTGCAGTGGGAAAGCGACACACAAAAGTTCCTAGTCCGGACAGCCGAGGAACTTGGAACCAGGAGCTAGGTTTCTGAACTTCAGCGAGGAGTACGCTCACAGGCTGGATCTTGCATGAGTTCCATTTTCCTCCCCAAGTGTTATACCAACATTAACATTTTTCTTCTTTCGCACTTAAATGGAAGTTTTAGCCAAGAAGTGTTATTGTTGCTGCTAAGATGCAACCTATTGTTGTTTCTACTTGTTTCTGTTCCACATAAAAAATGTGTTTGAGTTGTCTGTTGTCAACATATGCGTTAAGTTTTGTCAATGCAGATTGTTGCTTGTTGCAAAGCATTCCCTTCCTGTGGTTTTATTTATATTGTCATTAGCGATTAGTTTGACTAAGTCACATGTAACTAGGTTGTGTGCAGTGCAGTTACTGTAGGCTGTTTTTAATTTGCTAAATGACATACTGGAGATGGGCAGATTGTTGAGGATTTAATTTAACAACTGCTTAAAAAGCATAGTTATAACTGTCCCAGAAAAAAAGTCTATACTAACTATCGGAAGTAGTTTGTTTACCTCAAACATAGACAGAAGGGACATGGATTAGGGACGGAACACAGAGCTCAGGGAGGGACAGATGAGAGAGGAGACAAGGAGAAAAAAATATTCAGGCAAGGGGGAAGGGGAGCAGGGAGAGGAGATGGCAGAGGAAAAAGACAAGATGAGACAAAAAACTCGAAATATACATAGTCAGGATGGAACCCAGATTGGCCTAATATTCTAAGAATCAAGCCTTGGTTGTATCATACTTCAAACGGTAAGTTCTCTACACCAAACCTCTTGATCCATAGGAACCAGTGACAATTTTATAATAACCATAGATATCTAGTGAAAACCGTGAGTCTCTGAACATGTTCATTGCTAAGAAATCCAGTTCCACGGGATCAGTTCATCTGGCAATTACATACAGCGCAGTAAACATAAGCAATATTCAAATATTTTTCATCATGACGTCTTTGAACTAACAAGAAAAATAATGCATTGCAACTCCATTGTATCTGTGAGACATTTACAAAAATCCTTTATATCATATTTTGTGTGTACAGTTTATGATTTAATAAAGTTATTAGAGGAACAGTACAGAGGCATACATCTGAATAACTACATACATTTGCTGGCTTTACGTCCATGTCACTTAGATCAGATGGCAGGAATTCTTTTTTTACCTAAACGGTAATGAACCATATAGTCTTTCCATATATTGTTCTTCTATTCCATAATCCCACCCATTAGGAGGTAATGAAAGTAGACATCTATGTTTTTGGATCAGGGGGATCTTCTTCTAACACTGAAGGTGGAGAGGGTGGAAAGTCGTCTGCCTTCACTTCATCGGTCTTGTTCACAGATTCCTTGGGACTCCTTAAGTCTAAAGAACACAAAATCATTTATGTCAAAGGAAGGTTTGGCCAAAAATTTGAGAAGAAGCAGAATTTCCACATGTACAGTACAAACTGTGTGTTCGTATGGAGACACAACACAAAATGTGCTATATGACCCAAAGTATGTAGACACCCCTATGAATTAGGAGAATCATGTAATTAAGCTATTGCTGACACAAGTGAATAATTAGGCACACAGTTATGCAATGGTTTTGCCTATGTAGTGTACAATTTTAAAAATTAATACTGAATAGCTTACTTGGATTTTGTGGTCTCAGTCTTGTTAAGCCAGAGTAACTGGCAAAGAGCAACATGACCAAAAAAATCACATGCACAGAAACAAAGAGATAGACCCCTAAGCTTTCTCCTTACTTAATGTGAGAGTAAGTTGTATGTGATACAAAAAGAACATGATGAGCAAGTAGCAAGGACATAAAGAAATATAAAAATAAGAAATATGAAAGCTATAAATGAGTGAACTAAATGAACACAATTAAATAACTACAAATAAACTATGGAAATCCCTCATCTGAAAGTGCCAACCCCAAAACTTCAAAGTCTTGGATGTGCTGATATTTGCTCCGGTTACATTTTCAGGGAATATTCTATTCAGGATGCATGTAGTTGGAATACACTGGCTCGATTTTGCAGAGCACTGGAATTCTGCTTTTCTATCTGGTAAGCAGGTCTGCTCCATAACTAGCTGGGGCACTGCAGGGGAGACCAAGAGCTGGACATACCCAGACATACATGCTATTAGTCCTTTAGTGCAGTGTTTCTCAACCCAAAGAGCAAAAATGTGGACTGTCTGGAGGTCCCCGAAGACTGGGTTGAAAAGCACTGTTTTAGTGTTTATCAGTGTCACAGATAGCTGGGTAAATTTATCAGCAAAATTTCCTAATAATAAATATTACATTTTTGCAAAACAAAAGCCAGTTATCTGGAGTTAAAAAAAATCTGAACTAATGGTTACATCATTAGCCACATATGACCAGTATATTTGTTATTTTACTTTAAAATTAGTACAAAGTTAGCTATATTAGCATATGGTAGTCTACAGTGCAGAATCCCCTCTCACTAAAGGCTGTGATACCCATATGGTTTGAGATACCCACTAATGGCATCCAGGGTATGATTTCCAGCATGGTCCACAAGAGTCCTGCCCAGCCTGCACATCCCGCTGATAAAGATCTCCACTCGGGTCCTATACCCCTCAGCATACCTTGGGTGAGATTGCTCCAACCAGGCCACCACACAGCCCTATCAGAGATAGGCAAGGGACCTGCAAGATTCCCCTCGAACACAGACACCGGGGTGCCAAAATCGGCCTGCACCTCTAAGATTCCTCTCAG